TAAGTTACCGTAGTTTACCCTCCTCAAGAGATAAATTAAAAAGGGCGCAAAGAGAAGGTGTTAATTCCCTTGCACACGTCTTTAGCACGGTTGTAGGGAGACCGTCAGGGCCCGGAGCTTTACTCGGGTCTAGATTCGAGAGCACTTTGTAGACCTCGTCCTCGCACAGCACTAAGCTGTCGAAGACGGGCAACCTGCCGTCGGGCGGCGTAAATGGCTTAAGGGGTACCTCAGGCGCATGCGTAAACGTAGAATAGAAAAACTTATTGAAGGCTTCTGCCATCTCCACCCCGGAGGATATCTGACGTCCACCGTACGTAACATTAGCTGGTATAGAGTTTGACTTGGTTCTGTGGCGGAAATAACTCCACAAGCGTTTTCGATTGGCTTTCAAGTTGTCGCCGAGAGAAGTGAGATATTCCCTTAATGATATGAGATATGGCAGATGCAGTTTCTAAGTATGTCATGAGAACCTATGGTTCCGCAGGAACCTTTATTTAGAATTGGTACTAAAAACAGAGATCTCATGAGCATTGTGTAACTTTAATGACCACTTGAGACGTAAAAAGGCCTTGAAATAACTAGAGCTCTTCATCTGCATATTTCAGGACGAGAAATAAAAGTGCACAGCCTAAAGATTCTGAGGAGTTGAAATCAAAATACTGCCTCGATAAAACAAGGCAACTCGGTAGTAAAAAGAGAATCAACTGAACTGGAGTTGAATTTGCGTTGGACGTTAGTTTAAACTTTTATCGTTTGTTCTGCAGCATTTTGCTATAACAACGCTTTTTTTATATAACTTACGCATTTTGTAATAACGGAGACCGAGAGATAAGGGGGCAATACAAGTCGATCATGAGTCGCCGCTGGTGCTGGACAATTTAAGACTGTTCTGGTTACAATCGTGATAGTAACAGAGTTTGGTTATACTTGATGCTGTATTTGTTGTTAAAGGTTAGAAAGGGTGGACACGAAATTAATATCTTTTGCCTGTAAGGTTTTTTTCCTTTCTTTTTTTTCCCATGATATTTATTTATTGTTTCGTTTTACCTGAGCTATCGCTAGCGACCGTGCCTGGCTTTTCAGTGAAAAAAAAAAAGATGACGTTATCTTAACATTTTGAATGGGACAAACCAAGCAGTTTAAGGTTGAAATGCGCGCATCGGATCGTGGGCCATGAAAACCATTCCCGATATACCTCAGTCCCAGTTCCTTCTTCCCGCGTTCAAATTTTGTTTTCCAATTCACCATCCGAGTGGAACTCGTCACTGAGAAGGCTTGGGTTGAAAAACTGAAAACCAAGACCAAAAAAAAAGGCAAACTGCCTAAACAAACA